ACAACCTTATGTCTTAGAGAGAGGAATTCAAGCAAGCTTCAACATTAAAAAAACTAGCCAAGGCTTGCATTTGGACTCCCCAATAACATTTCACGAAGTCCGTGTGTCAATAGTGTGTGTTATTCGCAGCCATCCTCTCATGTATCAGATGTCTGATACATTTCCTGGAAACTACGTGCATCACTTTCGTCATGGCGCATCAAAACAGTGAGCACCAGTATTCAGATTCGAATGTCTGGGGTGTTTCTCTACCTGGCTGAACCTATGATGTATACGATCAAATCCAGGCAGAAATTACATGTGTGAGATTGACTGATATATCGTACGTCGTGTCATCACAAGGGTAGCCGTGGAATATGGCCTGATAGCTGAAAAGTTCAAACTCTTTTGGCACGTACGCGTTACTATGTTTAAACATAATGGAAACAGGGAAACGTTGGTTGTAATTCGAGAAACAGGGAAACTAACCCCCTAACGTACTGAGCACACGCATCTGTAGAGAGTACAGTGTATGTAATGAATATCACCATGATGTAATGTAATTGACATGGTGCTCGATAATAATAAATGACAAGCACTTTGAGTTTATATTTGGCTTGATTCATAAATATACACAAAAAAATCATGTTTAAAGCGCGGTGGTCGTCGCGCACAGCGTGTTCGAATAAACAATGTATTTTAAACGCGTTGTGTACGTCGCTATGAGTCCCATATCGAACAGGACGCGGCACGTCGACTGTCGCCCTTCATTGAATGGTCCCTTGTCACCATGACATTTTTATGGAAAATGTTTTGACCAAGTCGGTCTGCCAAGTTATTAACTGCAATACCCTAACAGGGGTTGGATTAGAAATTTGTATATATACTAAAATTTGAAATATTTTTTTTCCATATAATCCTGTTTCATGGTAATTTCGTATAGTAAGTTTATGAGTAATCTTCAATCATTAGTTGAGCTATTACTTCACTTGCAAAAATTGTTACTCTGTAAAAGACTACATGGTGTCTTATTCACTGGCGATCAGCATATGTGAATCTCAAGGTTAATTATACTGTGCAATATACACAGTGTCAACGAGGAATTCAACTATTTTTAGTAAGAATAATTGTTGGAAAAGCTAGAAACATTTTGTCATTGTGTTAGGGGGGGATTATTTACAACCGACGCTCAACTGTGTCTCTGTTTTTACATTTCGTTCAAAAAGATCGTACGTATACTTACATTTCGCACATTGTTTCTCTCACACGGTAGACAGATGTTGTAGTTACTTACTGCCATGCTACCACCAACACCGCCATTACATAGAATCAAGACATGAGCAGCCACGAGAATTGATGTAATTGGGACGGGCATTGCTCGAGTATTGAAGATCGGCTCGTGTATTTGTTGAGTGCACAGAGCACTTCCTTTTGAAAACTAGTAATATATTTTCCGGATGAATGACCTTTCGGAAAGCGCATGTTTTTGTGGAAGTTTAATTTATATGCGCATGTCTATAACCTCGTGTTCGATGTAGGTCATGGTGACGATGAACCCACATTGCACCGTGACAAACCCCGGGCCGCCTTTTCACCATCTTCCCGGTCAATTCAAGCCACAAACGTTTAAAGATATTTTAATAGATTTAATATATGGTTTGTATTTGATAAGCATGTCACTCTATATTCGGGCATTCTCGGGGCGGCTCCGAAAATTGCCTGCTGCACATTTTTGTAAATGAGTTTTGAGAAAGCCCTTGAACACATTTTAAGAGGGACGGCAAGGGGTATTTTCGTAAGCTGTAATCAATTGTTTTTATTTTCGTAATAATGTAATATAAATAAATAAACAAACGGAAATTCGTAGACATGGGCAAGGTGAAAATGTAATCTGCTATTTTATTCGTCCGTAGTTTGTACAAAGATCTTATTTTTTGTTAGCGTATAAAGCATTAAACACAAATTATCAAATATATTATAAAAAATGTAATTAGAATTTAGCTTTATGATCTCTAAAGTGTAAAAACCTATTTTTTACTGAATGTGGAACATTTTATTTCCTGTAAAAACGTAAGATGCCTTTTTTTTATTTCCTGTAACCTGTACCAGCTAACCCCCCTCCCCTCTTGTCCCCTTCTTTTAAAGGGCGGCAGTCGTCGTGCCGCGCCCTGTTCGATATGGGACTCATAGCGACGTATACAACGCGTGTAAAATATCTTGCTTATTTACATGGAATTCGAACACGCGCTGCGCGACGACCACCGCGCTTTAAACCCCAAAATTGTGACTTCTTTTTACTGATGGATTTATTGAAATAGATATTGTGCAGTACAAGTGCAGTGGAAGCGTGTATAGCCAAATCTCGCGATATTTAAAGGGCGGCAGTCGTCGCGCCGCGTCCACGATATGGGACTCATAGCGACGAACACAACGTGTTTATTTACATGAAATTCGAACACGCGCTGCGCGACGACCACCGCGCTTTGTAAACATAAATTATTCGGTTCATTGTTTTTACCCGGAAATAAACAAGGTGAATTTTAATACTAGTACGTGATTATTTTAAAGGTTTATGAACATTGTTTTGACGAATTGCCATTTCAACTCCATGGATTTGATTTTGGTTAATATTACGACCAGGATACGGGCACGGGACATTGGTTCCTCAAAATCGTTGTCGATCATTTTTTGTTTATATAAACACCGTGACGACGCGAAGCGACAGCTGTGGTGATGTAGCCAACAAATGATAAACCCCGGTGGCTAATTATCAGAATAGCAGATTGAATAATACACACATAATTTTTCAAACGACCAAATTACTCATTTCACTGAGAGGCTGAAAGACATCGAATCAACACACAGTGAATAATTATCCCGGGGACATTACATAGAACTTGCCTAATGGGGACGTGTCCCTGAAATGTTTTTTTGGGGGAGGGATTTTAGGTATAAGTATAGGTGTTATTTCTGCTCAAGATAGGTATAAATATTTTTCCGATTTGGTATACTTATGCGTACGTATATGTGCGAATATCTCCAGTTCAGATCCCGGCCTCAGATCCATATATACATCAACCCGGAAATTAAACAAGGCAATCAACATTTAAACGGAGATTTAACACGGAATAGAAAAGGGCGCACATTCCTCAGTGATATATAGATCAAATACGGTAACTGTTTTACTTGGAATAAACAGTGATGACAAAAATTGTACTTTATATGGGTATAGATTTTGCCACTGTCCATACGCCACGTATACGTGGATCTGCGTCAGTATTAACTCTGTGCAGTGGTTTATTACGTGTCTGTATATACTACGTATACGTAGGAATACGTTAGGCGGCATTGTTCTGCATTACGTGTACGTTAATGTGTGCACTATATACTTCCGCGCGGCGGTCTCCGTAAATATACTGCTGTGTATCAGTATGTTCCGAATGTTCCGAATGTGTGAATATACGTTACGTATTCCCCGTACACGCGTTGAATGTACGTGTGCGCCTACCAATGTATATCCTCGAATATCGGGAATATACGCATGCGAATACGCTAATGTACCCGCCGTATATCAACGATTTTGCCCAGTGCCAGGTATAAAAATGGTCACACTTTTGAGCACTCAGGGGCACCTCTCTACCCAGCTATGTATTAAGTGCCCCCGGGGTAATTATAAGCCGGGCTTACCTGAGATTCAGTGAAGCGATATCACGAACCTGATTTGTTGGTTGGTTTATCACACTGCTCGTCACTCCTCACAATAAAAATGTCTAGTGTTGCTTTTTACCCATCTTGAATTTTCAAGGTGAATGTTCCGGCAAAGCACTGCACTGTACATGTTGTGGGGAGAGGAATGTCCGAACGGAACAGCACCGTGCAGGCGAACGATGCTTTTTACCTCACAAAAAAGTTGTATTGTGCTGTAACCGTAACCAGCAAAAGCGAAGTCGTCTCTAGGTGGCGCTGTTTAAAAAAAATACATTTACGGTTCTGGTTTCAAATCCACAACTTAGAATTACATGTACTATAAAATTACTGCATCTTTACACGTCATCAATGATATCAGCAGAACAAAACTCACGAGAATTTAGGATAATTTAATATTGAATTTGAAGAATGTGTCCCTTTAAACAATAAATCGTCGCCAGGCGCTGACACAATGATACACCGTGACATGTACATGTGTGTATACAATTAACACATTGTATGGATAAAATTGGCCATGTGGAACAATCACTGAAAACATATTCTAAATATGTCATACTGGCATAATACTACTGTTGACTATTAGAAAAACAAAACAAATGACCTTCATTCGTGATAGCAATCTATTGTATATACCATTCCCGTTGTATATGACAACTCTGGTGTTATTTGTTTCTTATACAGTCAATATTATTTCTGAATAGATTTCCAAAAACAATTTTGAAACAATGATACCTCCGTATGCCCATTGTTACTATTTTGTTGTTTTTTTGTGGTGGTCATGGTTCTGTCACGAGCACGCTGAGCTAATTGTGTCCATCTTACTGCGGACCAAGATGATGGAATCATGATCCTTATACCCTCATTATATAAGTGTAAATCCAATGTGCTTAGTGTTTATTTAATTCTCGACATTTTAACTGACAACGTGACTTCCAGAAATTTTGACGGAATTAATGTTTATACGAAGTGCGGATTGAACCTCGTGGGTATACAGACTTTACAGTTGCAGCCTGACCGGCGGGTCGACTCCGCGTAGCATTCATTCACCAAATTTCCCAACATGCATCTGACGTGTCAGAGAGATCCTCATTAACATTTTCTCGGTGTATAGTAAACATAACCATATATCTTTTTGATGGACTATTTGCTGGTCAATTATTTCACCGTTCATAACCAATTTCGCTGGTGACTTGTTTTTTTTTTCAAACGTTATTGTTTGAAGCAACGTGTCATTCGCCATTATTGTTGTGACAGCATGAAAAGCTACAGCGCCTATGTTCATTATGGAGTTATGACTTGGTGTAAGTTTACCAACCATTAAGCACACGCGTACGGTGTTAACGCTGGAAGTCACGGTCATCAGCCCGTCATTAAACCACGTAAGGTATTATATTTTGATTATTTATACGTTAATTTCCACAGTGCATGGAAGGGGGGGGGGGGGTTAACGCTATATTATAATTAAATATTAAAAGAACAGCTAATTATCGTGTCTCTCAGATTTCAAATCGGTATAGGTGTGTGTACATTGATTTTTTCTGATATAGTAATTAAAGCCTCCACATTCGGCGTGCAACGCTCTCGAAATTTATTAAAAACAACATATTATATGCGATTTCACAGACGGAGTCGGCGGGGACTTTGGAGTGTGACCCATAAAAAAGCGACGCTATGCGATGACTGTAGCCGCTTTATAATCTACAAACTTGAATTAATTAATAATTTTGCGAGATTATAGTTGGTAAAAATTTCCGTTTTAGCGATCTCGAACTTTTTCAACCAGGCCGTGTCCATTAGCGATTTTACTGGCGTCGAGTGTAGGTGGGGAGGTTTACGGCGTATTGTGTGAAGGCATTCTCGAGGCCTTCAGTAGTTTAGCGCTATTATCTGACCGAAGAATGGCGCTACTTATCACCCTAACAACAGACCTGCCAAAATTTGTCAATGGAATAATGTTGAACAATGGGCGGAGTGAAAATAATACAGATTTGAAGAGAGCTGGTAGGCTGTTTTTTTTTTTTTTTATTTCAAGCGTGATTCGACTGGATAAGTTCAACGGAAAGGGCTGTTTTCGTTTTGTTACACATCAACACATATGTTTATCGGTAGTACAAATAGAATTTGTTTTTGAATCTTGTGTTGAATATTTTTACAGTGTTCGACTGTTGCCTAGTTAGCAAACAAGCTAATTCCTCAATCGTCATTCACTCTGGTATTATCTTCGTGTGGGGTCAGTTGGGGTCACGGCGCTGTTCTGCTCTGGCCTTTTTCACGTATTGTTCTTCTTTGAGATATTAAATAAAAAGATTTCTATTGAAAAAAACAAAACAATGGCGATAGTTGCGCGAGGGAAACGGCGCCACTCGGGTTACTTTGTTTCTTTTATTTCTGATACAGCATTGGATACGAGACTTTGAAATGTGAAATTAGGAAATATTAAATCTGTTGACTTCTTCGATTATTTTCTTGTCCGCCAGACAGACCCTGCAACTGTTCTCCTGCAACATGTCGGACCCGGACGATTGGACAGACTTCGGCCTACAGAGGCTGTTTAACCCGAACAACAGTGAGTACTTGCCCATAGAGGAGCAGTTGAAACTGTACAAAAAACGTGACTTGTTACAGACAAAATTTTACACCACCGCTGCTAAAATATTCGGAGCACCGCAAAGCCGGAAACGGGTTATTATTGCGCCGCCTATGCAGAAGGCGCCGAAACGAAAGCACGAAAAGGAATGCGTTAGACGCGAAAGAGAAGACCTGGACGAGCACGCTAAGTCCCTGACGAGTGGCGCGAATAAGTCCAAAGAGAGAGATGAATCACCAACCGTGGCGATTGGAGAAGCCAGTAAACATCGCTTACGTCAGCAACAGCTCGACTCCATGCGTGAGGAGTACCAGCCATGGTTACAAGAAAGGCGAAATCAGCGACATGAACTTGAGAAGTTAGACAATTGCACTTATGATTTTCTAACGAACAAATCGGACAAAAGTCCACAAGAACAACATTATTATTGTAAAACGTACGGTACAACTGAACGGAAGTTAATAACGGTTAGTGTTACATATACATATACTCAAAAATAACTGACGAATTAACGAACACAACATTCCAGATATCCATGTTGTCACCGGGGAATGGACTAGTTTGGGTGGAATTTCGCAGTATGTTTTACAGTCACATCTAGCAGGTGTGGATGCACCTGTTCAATAATAACATCAATTCGATTTAGTTTATAAAGACTCGTAGTCACGATGAGAAACATTGTCATGACTTTTACATTATGGCTCATTCTTCTTGCGTCAATATTTGGACCCAGATAAGCGTCTGTCCGTGACATCGTCGCGGTCTTTTATCTCCATGGTGACATGAACGCTGATGCATTAAATCGAATTAGGACGTGATTAGTCATTGGTTTTGGCGACTGTCAGGAATCATAGCACTAACTCAGTTATAAATTGACAAAAATCTCAAAATAGTATAACGTACA